GTAGTTACTAAACACGGAGAGTGATCGGAAATACCCGGTGCAAGGAATGTCGCATGTGCGAATAGACGGTGTTTTCCCATTGAGTATCCACCATAGCTCTATCAAGCTTCGACCAAACATGGTTGTTGGTCCAAGTGTGGTAAAATCCGCTTGAGGGTACATCCGATAAGCCTAATGCATCACAAACTTCAATGAGGTCCATGGTGTCTCGGTTGGTGATCCTCTCGCCTCTAATCCTCTCTTCCGGTTTTAGGATGGCATTGAAATCTCCAAGGAGCATCCAAGGCAAGGAGATCCTCCCCCGAGCAGCTCTAAGGTCATTCCATAATAATTTCCGATCTCCTCTCGTGTGGAGTCCATATATGAAGCTAACAATATACGAGTGGTTGCTAACCTTACAATGGACCTTCGCAAAGATGACTTGAGGCAAGGTAGCCTCCACCGTGATGTCGACCTTCGTGGGGTTCCATAGTAGTGCGATACGCCCACGATCAACAACATCAAAATTTTCACAAAATTCCCAATCCGGCAATCTTCTATTCACAAAGAGAGCTAGCCGCCTAGCATCAGTTTTCGTTTCCAAAATACCCAAAATGTCTATCTTATATCTCCGGATGAGGTTGATCACCTCATCTTGTTTTAGGGGCCCGTTAAAGTCCCTAATGTTCCATGAGGCTATAATCATTGGGAAGAGGAAGGGTTGCCCCCTTATTCACAATAGCTCCCTTAGCCCCTTCATTTCTCCCTCCCGGTTTGCCTCTTAATTTGGATTGTTGACCCGAAGGTGCGATGGATTGGCTTGCGGTTCCACTTCGAGTGAGTATCCTGTTGCGCTTCCCCACTACTTGGAAGGTGTCTTCCTCGTTATCTAGAGGGGCGGTAATGGTTCGGGAGGAGGAGGACGCAGTGTCCGTAGAGATGGTTACCGCCTCTTTCCTCGTTACATACTCCCCATTCTCCTCAATTACTTCATCCCCTTTCTTTTGTTTTTTCTCCACATCCTCTATCTCCTTGGGTTTAGCCGTGTCATCTCCTTTCTTGGATTGCACGGTTTCCTTTAATTGGTGTTCTTCCTCCCCCATCCTTTCCTTGGGTTATTGGTCACCGGCCGCTTTCTTGTCCTCAATTTTTTTCTCAAGGTGTGTTTTGTACTTCCCGCAATTGGTGGCAGAGTGTTCAATGAATTTGCAAAAGTTGCAATAGTGAGCGACGTACTCATACTCAACTTTTTACTCAAATAGAAAATCCCCTTTGGAGTAAATGGGAACGCTAAGGACTCGATCTTTTGAGAGGTCGAGTTCCACCAAAATACGAGCATAGTTGCACCGAGCTCGAGTTGCCGTGAGCTTGTCGGTAGTGATGGGTTTACCTACATATGAGGCAATCTTGCTAAGAGCCTTAGTGCTCCAACATTCCCTAGGTAGGAAGGGAAGATTGATCCATACGGGGACAGTTTTTATGTCATCTTCCCCAAATTGAAACCAATTGGGAAGTATCTTGAGAATAAGTCCTCGTCCGTAGATGGTGTAAGGACCCCCTTGTAGCACCTTCTCTCTGTCCTCTTCATTCCGGAATTTGAACGCAATCCATCCATTGACGTTAGGAATGTGTTCATACCGGACACCCCATGAGTTACATAGCTTCAACAAAGCCTCTTTGCCCGGGTGTCTATGGGTAAAGTACCCGACTAGGCAAAAGCCCCATCCACTCGTAATATCCAATAAGTCTTCTTCATCTAGGTGCACGCCCTTTTCCGGCAATATGTAGTCCAGTTTAAGGCGAAGTGAGGCCTTACGGTTGTCGGCGAAGAGTGCCGAGTAAGGCCTCTTCATAGTGTCCCTTTGTGGCTTTTTGTCGAGCACCTTTAGCCCAATATTTTCAGAGATTTTGGAGCTCTTTTCTTTCATGCTTTGTTCATCCCCAACCTGCTCCTCAACTACCTTGTGCCTATCAATCGGTGTAGAAGAGGAGGAGATAGCCATTCTTACCTCATTTACATTAGAACCTCCCTTTATGTCGTTGGAGGTAGAGGCTCTCATTTTGGTCTCAATTGGTTGCTCTTTCTCGTAGTCATCAAGAAGGCCTTCTTCTAGATCGTTGGAGTAGCCGCAATATTCTTCTTCCGTCAATTTCCGGTAGTGGAATATCTTCTTCAATTTTCCCATGAGTCTCAATTTATAAATGTTGGTGTTATTTCATAACCAATTTCCAAGTAGGTATAGTTCCGACTCGCAGTAAAAGTGTTGTGCAAGATAGATTATAAGCTCGGAGTGAGCAAGGCGCCGTGAAGAGTTTCACGGGAGAAGAAGGTCTCTCTCTCTAACCTTGCTATCGTCAATAAATAGTAATCCATTTTAGTTGACCAAAAGTTGGTACTAATTAATTAAAAACAGGTACTACGCAGAATAAGAAGCGGTACTATTTCTCTTAAAACTGCTGTCGCAGTAATCGTGATTTTGAGTAGTCATGTATGATCATTCAATGAGATGACAAATTTATTTCCATACAAAGAAAATTTGTAGTATTTGTTCCCTACATCAGTAAGCTTCCCTATATCACTTAAATACGACAAGATCCAATAACCTTTAAATTCAAATAGCAAGTCTCTGCAAGCAGTAATGACATCTTAATTCTTCATAAGATCAGAACCGGTGAAAAGGGAAGCAATGTTATCAAACTATATTGTTACAGACTTAAAAGTGATCATCCAATTTTTGAGTACTATTATATAGTGTGTTAACCAACTGCACCAAGCAATTGAAGCAACAGTAATATGCATTAATAAAAAATGTATAAGTAGATAGTTCATAAAGCTACTGCTACGTAATTAGCTGTCAAGTATATGAGATTTAACAAGTTTGGAAATAAAACTACATCCACAACAGTTGAAAAGGTTCAAAAAGTAATTTTCAAGAAACACAAGCCAACATCAAAATGTTGGGTTTTAAATTAATCAATCACACAAAGTTCAGATTTTTACAAGCACCCCAACTTTAGTGGAGCTCTAACTTGGGAAAACAGATATCAAGACAAAGACCATGCTTCAGATTTCAAGTCAATTTTAAAGTCGATCAAATTGAATTCTGTATGATTGGACTCAATTTTAAACGGATGAACTGCCGAAGAGCACCCACAATGCTTTGGTTCTTTTAACAAAAAATCACATGGCACATGGGAAATAGACCTAGTCTATAAAAAAATACTTCCCAATGCAATTAAAAGTGGACATGGTCTAGCTTATGTGGCAATGAAAAAAAGAGACCAAGTCCACACTTGGGTCTATTTTGGACCCAAGTACAAACCCAAACACTCATCATTTGCTCTTAATTTAATTTTTCTTTTAATGAATAAAATATATTTGAGCATTTTTATTGGTTGGCATGTACGCTAGACCTAGTATTTTTATTTTTGCATTGCAAAGTTTTTGAGTTTTTTTATTTGGGTTTGTCCATATCATTTAAGACCCAAGTCTAATTATATGTCACATATACAAAAAGAGACCCAAAGCATTGTGGATGCTCTAATAAAGTCTTGTAGAATATAGACTTGCAAGAAAAATTTAAGAACACATAATAAAACTCATTTAAATTCCCAACTTTCACTACAGCAATGCAACAATTCTCCAATAAAAAATCCACAAAAAATGCACAAAAACTGCAGCAATTCTCCAATTAGAAATCCACAAAAAATGCAAGAAAAATCCACAAAAAATGCAGCAATTCTCCAATGCACTCCTCCAATGTCACCACGCAAACCCCACCACCCCTCAGAGTCCTCTCCATTTGCCTCACGAACCTGCCTGGAAAAAGGGCCCGATCCAGGCTGGTGGGGTACATCAGGGGCAGCCGTCTGTCCATGCCCTCAAGGTTATCCCCTGCATTCCTGGAAAAGGCTGGTGGGTCTGTTTACGATAGGGGTTGTTTGGGTGAGCTCAGAAGGTGCGGGAAGGATGGGGAGATCTATAATAATTGATCCATATATGGAGAGGGATATTGGGTATTCTGAGGCTTCCGGGGATTGTGGGGCCCATTCTGGGTTATTTGGGCTGCTGGGGAGCTGAAATTGTTAGTCGGGGGCCAGGCCGAAATCTATGAAGTCCGAAGTTGGGGTAAAGCGGAGGTTGAGTTTCGGAGAATGTTTGTTCTTATGGGATTTCGGGTGGCACGACAGAGAGTGATCGGACGAGGTGGAAAAATCAGCGGAAAAAGATGAGATTTTGGGGAGGTGAGGGATTGATTTTGAGGATTTGGGGTTTTTGATCGCCAGCTTTTTTTTTTTATTTTTTGTTTTGTTATGAGTTTTTATGAGGGTCAGCGTGGCTACGGCTATGGATGCGAAGGAAAGCATGTTGAGGAGTATTTGTAAGTGTTTCTCCATGGATGAATCATTTTGGTGTTCTGGTTCAATTTTTTTTCTTTTTCCAGAGCTGGAGAGAGAGTGTAGATGAGAGAGGATAATTTCTTTAATGCTTTACAAGTAAATTAAAATTAAATGAATAATAATAATATTAGTATTTATAGGTGGAGTTGAGAGGAAAGAGAAATATGTATTAGGGAGTGCAGAGGAAAATCAAATGCATTGGGGACTATCAAGGAAGATGAATTGTGGATTGGAAATTTAAGAAGAATTAACCGTTTAAAATCATAAGAATTTAAAACCTAATATTAAACAATCCTTAAAATTGCTAAATGTATATACCCTTAAGTTATTCTATTAAACATGTCGAACTTTTTTACACCGAAAGTTGTGCTACTTTGTAAGATAAACAACACCACAAATATATGAATTAATTAATAATTAAATGGTGTTAAAAAAAAACTGTTGGAATGATTATCATGAAAAACATACAATGTATTAATGTTGCAATATCAACTAATAAGTGTATAATTTGCTCTGAATAAATTTGAATCATGGCTTAGCTAGCCACTGAATATTGTATTCAATTAAAATTATTAAATATCAAAATAGAGATAATTAAATATCATTTAAACCAGTACATATGCAAATGATGATTTAATGGCAAACATAACAAATATCTCTGAATTGTTCAATCTTAAACAGCATGCTGTTTACTTATTCAATCGTAATTTATAAAGTTACATGTTCAATATTAAAAGGTGCAGTTTTTCCCCAAAACTAAATTTGTATCAATAATTTTGGAGATTTGACGGTGCACTGCTTCCGTTAGATGTAAACCATCCCAATGCACATATTGATTTGGATTGTCACATACAGGCACACCAATCCCTCCACAAAACTGTGGACTAGTAGGATTATAATCTCTACTTTGGCAACAAGGACTCAACAAAGTTCTACGATCAAATCCTACAGATAAAACCATACAAGAATATCATTATTATTATAACACTAAATTGACAATAACGTTTTATAAATATTAATGTATCATAAATTTCGTAATAAATAAATACAAACCGAGAATAGGCGCTTGACGAAGAATTGTTAGAAAAGCATTGTAGTAGTCTGCGTAGAGTATAACAACATTTGGAAATTCCCTTCTAAGAGAGTATAGAGCAGTCTGAAGGTTGGAGTTTTGATAAATTGCAAGATTGTTCAAGCGTTTTATGCACCCATTTTCATCATAATCTGTTGAATCATTACTAGAAAAAGCGCTGAGAGTATAAGGGAAACACCCAATAGGGAAGTTTCCTGCAGTCACGATTTGTGAGGCACCAGCACGAATGATCTCCTAAATAATAATAAATAAAATGGAAAACCAAACAATCAAAACTATATGCACTTATTTTAAGTATAATTAATTAATTAAACTAAAAATCAATGCATGCATGGGATTTAATTACTCTTGTGGCGTTGACAATAGCTTGAATGATAAACGGCACATAGGTCTTGATTTCTTCAAGGGATTTGCCTTGAGTCAATGGATAATTTATATCGTTGCTTCCAATTTCTCCCATGAAAATCAATGACTTGTTTAGCCTGTCAGCACAATCTACCCCAAAAAGAGAATTATACTACTAAAAAGGTATGATGATGTATGAAATATATGCAAAACAAAGTAATTAGTTATCGGTACCCAAAAAAATAATTATACTACTAAATGTATTTATCTAGTTATAATGATGTATGAAGTATATGCAACCAAAAAAAAAAAACAAAAACAAAAACAAAAACAAAAAACAAAATCAATTATCGCCTTATCGGTACCCGAAGAAAAGAATGATACTGTGATATCAGTACCCAACATCAATCACATTTTCTAAATTTTATAGATAAAATATTAAAATAATATTCTCTATGTTATATTAATATAATAAAATTTCCTTATTTTACAATATGCTTTATATATTACTAGTTTGATACCAGTGCGATGCACGGGGTGCAATACAAAAACATATTTTTATTTAAATATTATAAGATTATTTAAAACAATATGAAATTATATTATCCACAATATTCTATTCAGTAATAATATGACATTTATATATTTACTATTCTTGTTAATTGCTATTTACATATATATATATATTGTAATTTTTGACTATTTAATATATTAATTTTATTATTTATAAATTTATAAAATATAGTAAATGTATAAGATCACATGATATTTGCAAACAATCTACTTGTATGTACTTATAAAATTATCGTTTATCATAGTCTTATAATTTTTTTAACAATTCATAATTTGCACATTGCTTGATAATTTACCAACGTTTAACCCATAATATTTATCTTCCGCTATAATTATTAAGTGCATTAAATGTTAAAAAATTTGTAAATAAATTTTTATTTTTAGTAACTTTAATCCTTATGCAACACAAAATTTTTTTATGGTTAAATGTTTTATTTTTATGTTTCCATTTTTTATTTATATTTATTTCTTTAATTCAATTTTTGAACCTATATAATGAGTTACATAGTATCTATTTGAATATTTAGATATATTATACATTTTCATAATTACCAAGTGCTTTAATTTAAATTATTATACATTGCTTTTTATTAATTTATTTTTCATTTATAAAATAGTATATAAGAAAAAAATATATATTTTTAAAAGTTGAATAGTTTTTTAATGTACATAGATGCTTCTAAGGTGAAATTTATAATTCTGAATCGCACCCGACCATCAAATTTTATTTTTATTACTATATTATTTAAATTTTCAATAGTATTATAACTGGATATGATATATGCAATGCGGATGTACCTTTTTATAGTTAAATTGACTACATTTTAGAAAATTTTATTAATATTTGAAATTATTTAATAAGTTATTATGATTTAAACATAGTTATTCTGATTAGATATTTTAAGTACTTCTGAATAGTGAATATAATTAATTAAATTAATAGCTACAACCATAGATGATAATATATTTAATGAAATCAATTTCCATAATAATATTTTGATTTGTGTCAATAAATTACTATTAAATTAATATAAGATCTTATTAAAAATATATCTAATAAATCTACGGTCAAAATTTCAATTTAAGCCAATTTGTAGTTAATGAGTAATAGTCACTGAGTGTATAAAAGTTAATTATTTTTTTTTATGTATAAGATTTGTTAATAAATAAATATTAATTAAATGCCAAATATAGATTAAAAAATTTCCCGCCCAATATCATACCAATTACGACAACTCCATTATATAGATATAGATTTTTAATTTTTAAATGTTATAGATAAACTGATTTAAATCTATTCATAATGATAGATCCAATTATTATTATTTTTATTTATATAGACGATATAACATTAAATCGTAGATAATTAAGAAATGATCGATTTTGTATAATATATGTGAAAAGTTATAAATTAAAAAATAAAAATATACATTTATAATAATTAATATGAATTAAATAAGAAAAAGAATTATAATTTATGGTATTTGTTATGATATTTTTCAAGCTTAGTTGGTTATATCAAGCATGTATGAAGTGTGTGAGAATACAAAATATTTTTTTTGGTGTAATCATTCAAAACTTGCGACCTGCCATGTAAGTTCGGAAAGGTTCCAGATTACATCCATACATCTACTATCTACTAAGAGCAACCCCAATGTGGTTTTTTGACTTCATAAAAATTCATCCATATCATCAACTTATAAAAGTGTATTATTAATTTATTCTCCAATGCATCTTGTCATGAACTCTTTCATGATGAGGTGGATAGCATTTAATGTTGACAATATTGAACACACTTTCTAATATCTAACACCATGTTAAACATGATGACTAATCAATTCACTTTATATTTGATTTAATTTTTTATTGTTCTTGTATTAATGATTATTTTAATTGATCCACATATACAAATAACTTCTTATCAAATTGATGCATTGGAGATAATAGTTTGATTCAAATTTCTACTCTTTTTAACATTATTCCTACATGGATTAACATTACAATCCTTGATTGACATGTGCTAAAAATCATTGTCTTTCAAAGTTATAACATTGGAGATGCTCTAATTCAAAACGTGCTGAGCCTAAGTGGCAGGCTCGCACGCTTTGGAATCATACGTGTCAAATTATGATGCTTCATATTTAGGTTTAGATAAAAAAACTTACAAACATAATCAGGTTGAAATCAACCATAAATATTTATTTCATCTTACATTATTGCATCCTATAAATATCTCTTTCATTACCATAATTTATTTCCTCCCATAAATTTGTGTATTAACTCTATCATATTATCATGAGAGAATATCCAAAGATAATTCCGTAAATTTGGTATTCTGTAGTTTTAAATGAGTTTTTAATTAATTCATACGTGTATTACTTTTCCATATTTTATATCATACAAAATACATTTTATATCATTTTTCATAGAATAATTTTTACTTCATAAAATAGACTATATATCTATATTGAATAAAGTAGTTTTAAATAAGTTTTTAAGTTACCTATTAGTGTTAATTCAAAAAACAAATATAATTATTTAAACTAACTGAACTACAAAGTAGTTATATGATATAAACATAATATAAGATGATAAGTCGTGTAAGTGACGGTATCAATTTATATATAAACAATAATATATTTTTCAAAAAGTTATTTAAAAACTAAAATAACTTTTGTTATTATAATTTCATTTTAGATAAAAAAAATTTAACAAGTACTCGTGTAATACACAGGTATTTGTACTAGTATAGAGATATAAGGGATTGAGTTTTGAAATATTTTACTTACTAGTACAACACCCGTATATTACACGAGCGCTTGTTGAAAAATTATTCATAAATTTCAAAACTAATGAGAAAAAGTGTTTTAAAATTTAAATACATTTTACAAAAAACATATATTATTATATATTTTAGAATGACACTTGTTATTTTTGCGAGTTATGTTATATATTGTAATAAATTTTCTAACTTATACATATAACTACTTGAAATATAAATATATTAATTAATAAATAATTTTATTTTTCTAAATAAAATTAAAAAATAATTTAATTATTATTATGAAGATAAATATAATTTATTTATTTTATGCAAATCGGAACTCATCAAGAGATGATTAATTTGCTATATTATATATGTAAATCTGATAAAAAATACAAAAGTTACTAACTTTTAAAATACATTTACAATTCAATGGTTAAACAAGAAATGATATTAAAATGCAATTAATATATGTAACTTAACAATAAATAATCAACATATTTTTGGATAATTCGAACCTGATAATTTTTGGATTAGAAATAAATTAAAATTTACCCAACCCAAATAATGAAGAATGAAATTTTGCCACATAAGATCCTGAAACATGCGAGTCTGCTACTTAAGCTCAGCACATCGAGAATTATATATAAGGTGGATAAGGTGATTTGTAAGGTGATAAGTACGACACATTATATATAGGGATATAAGGGATTTAGTTTTGAAATATTTTACTTATTTGTATGTGTAGATGTTCATTGTGACTCACTCCTAACTAGAGATGTTCATGGGCCGATCTGGCCCGTGAACCGACCGGTGAACCGGCCTCGACCTGGCCCGAACCGGCCTCCTAAGGGCCGGTTTGTTGAACCGGACCCTTAGGGTCGCGGTTCGGTCCCAGTTCATTAATTTCTGTATTTTGGTCCCGTCTGGCCTGGTCGAGCCAGTTCGGGCCGCAGGTTAGACGACGGGCCGCTGTGTTTTTTTTTTTCAAGATTGTACCAACTTGGAACCGCCCAAAACCCGCGCCAGTCACGCAGCCCGTGAAATGGCCACGTCTAGTCCTAACTTTAAGCTAGATGGAATTTTTCAATGGATATGATATATTTATATACACGACATCATATTTTATATTTATTCTTATTATATAGATATAAAAATTTTTAAATATTTTTGTTTCTAACTTTCTCAGCTCATTTTTAATTTTATTATTGGATAATAATGATATATATAAAGGTTAAGCATTTACTAAAAGTATATTTACCCCTAATATCACGACCTTTATCGAAGTTGCAATTTAATTATGACTTTTTCACTTTTGCAAATTATATCACAATCTTTAGTTTGTTACAAACAGTCTAAAAACAGTCATAGAAAAGCTGATGCGGTCGAACAATATACTGATGATTGTGATATAATTTGCACGGGATATGCAAATCGGTGCACTAACTTGCAACAAACTAAAGATTATGATATAATTTTCAAAAGTGAAAAAGTCGTGATTAAATCATAATTTCGAAAAAAGGTCATGATATTAAGGGTAATTTTGCCTTTACTTAAAAACGTACTATGTAAAATTTCCTCCAAAAATCTTTTGTTTCTATAAGAACTTTTTCAAATTGTATTTTTCATTTTCTAAATCATCCTTTTTAGTTTTTAGTTAAACATTTGTTCAATACATCTTTGAAAATCTACGAATGCATGAAAGAATATTTGAAAAACAAAAGTAAAGAAATTTTTTATTCCTATATGGAAGGATAAAAAACAAATATACAACCAATAATTAAAAAATAATTAATAGAGATAATTATTAATTTTATTAAAATGACACCGAATTTTACATTCAATTTGAAAAAAATTACTTAAATTTATTTATTTCTCAAATAAGCAACATTTACAGCTCCATAAATCTAGTTTTGAATTTTTTAAACTAAAACATGAGGAGTTTGCTTGTATTGTACTTATATTTTCTATTTATATAGTCATTCTCTTTGGGTTACTACTGAATTTATTTTTTAAATTCTAATGTACAATTGCCAAACTTTTGTTTTGATAATTATTGAATAATTGGTTAACTAACATAAATAAACCTACTACAATATGTTACTTTTCTCAATTTGACAGAATTATTTTCTTTCTTATATTTTGACAAATTAGTTGTTATTGATGAGGTGTTATATACATATAATATAATTTTTTCTTAATTATTATGAGATACAATAAATACAAAAAATAGTATAAAATCATATGTGTATATATTTGTGAAACATTTATACACAATATTTTATTTTATATTTATATACATAATTTTAAATTTATTATATTAATAAATAATATTAACGTACATTAACCATTTTTTATTATATAAAATAAAAATAAATATATTACTTCTATAACTTTTATAAATAATATAATAATAATAATATTATATGACAACAAATTTAGGATAAAATTATAATTGAACATTATATAGGGAACAAGAATAAGTGTAATTGTTATTTTTTTCTTATATCAAGAAATAAATATATATGCTAAAATCAAATTCATATTAGTATAAACGAGTTACGGGATAATATATTAATTAACAACTTGCAGGTAGCCTAACAAACTCAGGTTTAACGTTCTGACTAAAAGAAAAACAACATTGATTAAAAGATACAGACAATAGATACTCAAACCTATTATTTTTGGGCCTAAACAAAAATGAGTTTATCTCGAGTGATCAGATTATGGGTCAGTTTGATCATTCAAATCGACTGTTGAAACTAAATACAAATTTAAGTAGTAAAAGTATTTTATTACGATAAATGTAATGTGTTCCGAAGTCCAAATAATAATAGTAAGAATGCTTCACGACAACATGTTCTATGATTTATGAATATCTATATATTATTTAATCAATATTTATGTGAACCAAATAATATTGTATTACGACTTTTATTAATGTACTGTAAATCCAAGGTTCTCAATTCGAACCGTCAAACCGATCAAGTTATATATTTATTCAATGATTTATTGGTGGGACTAAAAATATAATTTATTAATATATTATATATTGTATATATACTTTTTGTAATAAATTTATATAAAAGATATTAATTAGATATGTGAACAATAAAATTTTCGAATGTTCAAACCAATTGATAAATACTTTTTAAATTTTTTATTTATATTATAATAATTCTAAATGTAACAAAATTTATTTAGAAAAAGCATATTGATCCTTCTTACCAGTCCGACCGATTCGCTAGCAAACTTTTTCTCAAGCAAACCTGACCGATCAATAAATCGATTTTCGGTTTGGTCCGATTTCGAAAACAGTAGGTAAATTATTATTAATATTATTTATATATCTAATTCGAATTATAAACGTAGTATTGTTTCCCCGTACTAATTAATTAAAACGCAACTTAATTAACATTATGAAAGTTTACCTGATGGCCCAGAACAAATAGTGGTTAAGTGTCTCCTAAACCAAGTTAGCTGACGGGCAAGGGAGCCAACGCTTAGCGGAACAATTATGCCTTTCGATGTGAAGAAAGACATGTTGAGCGCTGTAGCACCAGCAACCGCAAAATTTACTCCATTTTCAAAAGAAGCATACTTTTTCAGGTAAGGATTCAACGGTGGAAGCCCAACCGAAGCAGCTGCACTTACATTTATTATTATTATTAATTAACTTCCGATTAATCTATAATATTAATCATAATAAATAACAAACTAATAATCAGGAAAATTACGCGACACATATTTGTAACATGATAACAGTGATAGTTCCAAGACTTGCTAATTGCTATCCGTCTAATTAGTAATTACCTTAAAAACATATGCATTTCCCTTTAGCGTGCACTTTTCGAAAATTCCCAAAATTAAATCAAATAATAAGGGTCAAATTATTTTAGCGACCAACTTAATATTTTTTTTTATTTAAAAAAAAGATATTTTTTGAATTTTTACCCTTATAAGTGATATCTCATAACCTTACTTCAAATGATTTGTCATATATTGTTACCTGAAAAATCTATGATGAGTCGGCCATCGGACCATCGGCCAGTTGGCTTCCCAGGGAAAGTTCGACCATAAGGCTGACGAGCAGCGGGAAGAAAGGGGCCGAAAGGGAGTATTCGAACCAAGTTCCCAGTGTCCGAGGTTGAATCACCAAACTGATACAAAGATTGAAATTGGCATGTTGTATTATTGGCGCATGCAGCTGCTCCAATAAGCATAATCAAAATATAAGACCTCACTACACTAAATAGGAAAGCTGAAAAACCCATATCTAATTATATCACAATGTACTCACGAATTATCCGAAGACATATGGATCTATTTATATAGCACTAGAGAAGAAGAATTATGTGATGTCAGTTCATACGGGAAAATTTCAAAACTAGTCCCACAGTTATAGGGGGGTGACAATTTTGGTCCCAATGGAATGCAGAAAATATGAATAGTCCCACAACTTTTAAAAAATGATCAAAAGTAGGACTTTTTCGCCGGATTTACTATTTCCGGCCCGGAACGCCACGTGGCATCCGACGTGTTCATATTTTTTTACAAGTTGTGGGACTAGTTTTGAATTTTCTGCATTCTATCGGGACCAAAAATGTCACTCCTCTAAACTTGTGGGACTAGTTTTGAATTTTTTCCTATCTAGGAAAAAATTCAAAACTGAGCCACGTGTGCGCCATGTGTGCGCCATCGTGTAAAGAATAAGCCACGTGGCGTTCCGGGCCGGAAATAGTAAATCCGGCGAAAAAGTCCTACTTTTGATCATTTTTTAAAAACTGTGGGACTATTCATATTTTGTGCATTCCGTCGGGACCAAAATTGTCCCCCCCTATATCTGTGGGACTAATTTTGAATTTTTCCCCAGTTCATACTTAGCAACTTGCGTCTCTCAATCAAGATGGATATTGAATGTGGGACTTATTTTTCGCTGGGCGTTAGGTAATTATCCTCGTGTCATAATTATAATCTACTCAAATCTACATCACCTGTGTAGCATATAAAAGCTTACTTTCTTACGCTGTGACTGTTTCATCAAATTATAGGGCTAGGGCTGAGATTTAATTCAGCTTGCCACAATAACATCCTACAACTACACATGCTAATAGTGATATAGCATATAAAGATAGCAAGGTTGAACCGGTCGTGATTAGCTCGAAATTATATATAAATCGTAGATTAGCTAGGCGATTCAGAAGTACACTACAAGAAAATTATGAAATTCCAACAGAAATATATTCTAATAGAATTCCAACGGCAATTCCAATGGATATTTCAATGCTATTATTTTTGTTGGAATTATTAAATTCCAACAAAAATATTCCGTTGGAATGAGTTTTCTATTAGAATTTCCGTTGGATATATTTTGACGATTCCAACGGTAGATTTTCCATCGGTAGTGGAAATAAAAATTCCAACGGAAATTCCTACGGTGAAAAGTCGTTGGAAATGTAGCCGTTGGAATAATCAAATTCCATCTAAAATTCATTCCAACGGAAACTATACCATTGGAATATCTGTTAGAATTTTTATTGAAATATATTACCATAAGATTTTTTGTTGGAATATAACAATTTTTTTGTAGTGGTAATAAGGGTTCAAGTAGCTCGAATAACTAAAGAGTATCTACAGCTCAGTTTATAGGTAGCTAGGATAACTATAGAACAATATTGTCTATAACTAGGCATAAAGGGAGCTCGGACAACACGACAATACAGATATGTTTATAGCTCGGACATTCAAGATCTTGACATATTGTAGCTCGAACATATAGTAGCTCGGCAAATGACTTGCACTACAGAAACAATGCATTTAGTAACGTTTAAATTTTTGGTTTAGTGACGCTCATTAGTGTCACAATAAATTTACTTCACTTTCAAAAGTGTCACGAGTTGCGTTGCTAAAGTTGATGTCACTAAAATATTTGTGACACAAGACTTGTGCATATGTAACTTTCAATACATAACGCTTTTTTAAGTACGTCACTTTTGCTTTCAATGCATGACACATTATCCTAGATTCAAGAATGAACACCTCAAATTAAAATATTATTCAAACTGAATTTAGGGATGTGCGGCACTGTGAGACGCAATAATAAGTCACCGGACATTAGCTGTTGAACACCATCAGATCTCTAACCCATGAGATGTGGATCCCGTAATCGTCGGACTAAGAGGCGCTGACGATCTCCCCCCCGAAGCTCAGTCTGCGAGCTCGCGGGTTTGCGAGACCCGCGCCCAGCATCCAGCTCGCCGGCGAAACCCATTACGTGTGCACGTGGGAGGCTTGGGAGTGACCCGTGCACTCGCCTGCGAGAGTCCACCCGCGAGGCTGCGAGTGTGCCAAGGGACCCGGCCTACGTTGCCCAACAATCGCGTGCGAAAGAACATCCGCGAGATTGCGAGCGTGTCGTGCCACCTTGATGAGAATGGAGATTTTGATGCCCATGGACGAAAAGAGACGAGAGCCGAAGCGATCGGATGAGGACACACGAAGGCACGAAAGAATGCACGCATGACCAAAAAGACGAGCACGAGCTCGTATGCGAGGCGCGAGAGCTGGCAGTGGTGTGACGAAAAATAGGCCAAAGACATCGCGCGAGCAAGCACGCGGGGGCGTGCACGAACGTGATGCGCAAATGCACGAGACCTACGAGCCAAAGAGGAAGATTCTAGAAGATACTTATTATTTAGATTAATTAGTTTAATTAATTAATTATTAGGCCTAGTTTAATTAGACACGAGTTATTTAGATTAATTAGTTTATTTAATTAATTGTTTGACCTAGTTTAATTAGACACGAGTTTTATTAACGTGAGTGTTATTTGTTAGTTTAGTTTTGTTAGGAAGTTTGTTTAGCCGTAAGCTTATTTGTTAGATTATTAGATTAGTTAGTTAGTAGTTTTTAGGATTAGTTTATTGGGCATGTAAGATTTAGATTGATAGGTAATATATATATATATATATATATATATATATAGGGTCACGCTCCGGCGAGAATGGTGCTCAATGAAAGAAAAAAGAATAAATCGTAGTCATTAGATCGGATAATCCAACGATTAAAAAAAAGTCAAATCTATACCTTCATTAAGGGCATGACCGTAAGTTTTCCACACACAAAAATATGGGCCCCATTCTACATTAATACACTTGCCTCCTCACCCCACCCCACCCTAAACTCTCTCTATCTCACACACACGAGCAGAACACACACAGAACACGAATCCCGCCGGCTCCCTCCGATCGTCCATCATACACAACACACACCTGCTCAGGCGCCGCCGTATCTCCGCCTTATGATCGTCCGACCACGGTTACAAAGCCCACACCCTCCCGTCGGCTTCTTTGACCGACCGCCGAACATAGACAGACGCCGCCGCGTTGTCGGCAGACGGTCGTCCGTCTGTGGCCCAATCTCCACACCCGCACCAGACCCTCAGATATCACTCACGATTTCCGACCATGCTCGCCCAGCCCACCGCTGACATGTTGCCATGCGTCATATTTACGTGCATTTTATTGTGACTTTGGTGTCCGTTTTGTCGTAGTTTAATATATAATTAGTTATTATATAATTAATTATGTAGTTAATTAATTTTATTAAGCTATGATGAGTTGTTTTATTTGAGTTTTGACAGGAAATGGGGTCGACATAATTTTAGAGTCGAAAACAGCGTGACACGGACATAAAGGGAGTGCGAACCATGAATTGAGACGAGTCCAGTTACACAGCCGGCAAAAAATATGCAGCAGGACCATTTTATTTTCTCCAACTAGCCCATTAAGGCTTATAAATTCAGCCCAACTCAATAATGCAAGTAATGGCAATATGGTAATTTCTGAGACATGGAAAAGTTCATCTTCTTCGCAAGGAATGCACGCAGCAAACCATCCGCCATTGTCTCACGCCAGAAGCTTCGCAGACAGCCACCACGCCGCTACCTAGCCACTTGAGACCACCTTTCCGACCGCCGCTGCCAGAATTTCGCCGTAGAAGAAGCCTGGACGTCGATTTCGCGCGGAAAAAATGCTGCCGACAATGGCTAGAATTTCAAGGACGGGAACTCGCCATGGCCGGCGACCTGTACGCTTTTCGACAGCTGGGGCACCTTCCGACCTCCTTAGACGCTGGAAACTCGACCAGGAGCCAAGATCCGAGCTGAGAATGACAATTTGGTGCTGGTTTGAACTCCCAGGTACACACGGGTCGTGTGAGCTAAAGACACGGCTCGTGTCGCTTCGACGGGTCGCTAATTGAGCTCTCGGCATGTCACACGACCCGTGTGGCTTATGACACGAGTCGTGTGACCCTGGGTGCGACAAAATCTGGATTTACGCGTTTTTCCTATTTTTTTGGTATTTTCGACCTATTTCGACTAGGACTCGACCTCAACTATATATACAACCCTTGGACACGTTTTTGAGGAGTCTTGGACATATTTTGGAGACCGTAGGAGGCTAGAAACACGAGCAAGACGAGGGAGAAACCCGGGAAGAGAAGATCGACGGAGCCGAATAAGCTTTTTCTTTCTTTTTCTTTTCTTCTTTCGAACTCAATGTTTTATATCTATTTTTCTTATTTTGAAATCATGTTTCTAGTCTAGATTTATATTAGATTCTAGGATTTGTTATTACTCGGATTGATTTGTGATTTAGTTTTTATTAATTTCATTCTGATTTATCTTTCGTTTATAAATTTCTTGTGCTTATTATTATTGTTTGAGTAGACGGCCGCTATGAATGCATATTTGTAATTGATTTGAGAGCGAGAGGAGATAATTGATTGCTAGAATTGGGAAATTTATAACGTAAGAGAATAAACAGACCGAGAGGTTGATAGGACATTGCGAGAGAATGAAAATCCTGAGAACTTATGGGAGTTAGTTGTTCATCTTGAGACCGAGAGGAGATAGATAACAATTAATATCTACGATTTAACTTGTTCGAGAGAAAGGTTTCAAATCAATTTAGCGATTATCTCTACGATTGATAAAATTAAATAAGGTTTGTTTGAATATAAACTTCTCATGAATTAATTCCGAGGAACGCTTAGCCTAGAATCTATAATTTGTATCTTGTTTTATTTTTATTATTTTGGATAAATTAGTTTTTAGTTTAATCCTTAGTTTATAATCATCATTTAATTCACTAGTCTAGATAATATTTAATCGTCATTATTTTACTACTTAATTAATTTAACTACAATCTCTGTGGAATACGACCTTGCTCGCCACTACCTATAGTTACTCCGTACACTTGCGGATAGCGAAAATAATTAGCGAACAC